TGATGTTATGTTACATAGATAATCTGTGTCCATTTTTGTTTTTTTCAAACCGGAACATTAATAATTAAAAAAAAACATAATAAAAAAAGAACACTGATTATTGTGATCACCGTCAGATTGAGGTGTACTTAAAAGACAACCAATTTTCTCTAGTCAAATGCTCTTTTGGAAATTAAACAAAACCAGCTAATTATATTCTGCATAAAAGTTTTGTTAATAGTTTTAACTGCTCAATTACCAAGCAGTCACCGGTGACCGCTTTCCACTAACTCCATTATAGACCTTATTTCCTATGTTTAGAGACTATTTTTGTATGAACGAATTTTCGGTATCATCTATTATTTAAACTGTCAAACACCAAGCGGTCACCGGTGACCGCAACCTATTGTTCTATAATTGTGTCTACAAAACCGGTACTCGACGAGTTAAATAAACATCTTATCGTAGTAACCATAACCCAATATTGACGTAAAAATCTAGTGCTCCATTTAAAACTTCTTCCTGTATCAGGTGGGCGGCTACCTACTAGCAGTAGCGACAGCGCGCGAAGTACAGGAGATGGATGTCTCACTACTGCTGCGAGCGGGCGCGTGGTGGGCCGAGGACGAGTGCGAACTAGACCTGCTGGCACTGGCTGCTGACCCTGCTGCATTGCCTGATACCGGATTCCTGCTTATACAGCATCATGATAAGTATGTAATGACTTCTTATTTCATCATCATTATAGTCGATTTCAATTTATAAGCGGTTCAATTATCATCAATTAGGGTACTTATTCCAAATGAAATGGAATTTAACGTCATAACGTCAAAACGTACAGTTGAACATAGGTCCCACAGAGTCTCAATCAATTTCCTGTCGTCTCACTCAATACCATAAATGTAAAAGTTTATAGAGCAAAGTAAATGTCGAACTTCTTTAACAGAGACAAGTGTCTGTTGATAATGTTTTTGGACATAAGACGTATTTCAGTAAATAATCTTTTCTTTTTCCCGATCTCCTTATTTGAAGTTCAGGGACTTTTGTAATTTTAATCAAATATTGGCCCATTTCATCCGATAAAAATTGTGACATCTCAAATTTTAATGTTATACAAAATCCATAGAAAAT